ATTAATCGGTGAAATTTCAAAATCGACATGTGTCGATTCCGAATAGACGGGAATCAACAAATAACATGCAACATATATATATATATATATATAATCTGAAAATGAACGGCTTTATAACAAGGTTTAAGCTCACTATGGTAAGTATTAGCTCTCGAAAAAATCCTTTCAGTTCATTGTAAAGCAAGTTGACGTAATCAGAAAAAATTAAATTCGAATATATCATCTTTATTTCAAAATTATGAAGTAACATTTTTTTTTTTCTTAAAAAAAAAAACTTCATAAAAATGCACATGCGTAATATATGTGCACATACTGTATGATATGCGAAAAATAGAGTTATGGCATAAAAATGCACATCGCATGTTCCAATACACTCTAATTCGGATTTAAACTTCTGAATTGCGTATAAATAAAAATATTTTGATCTGAATTTTGTCCCAAATCCCAAGTTATAAATTGGATCAATTTAAGTCCCAAATTTGTTCTAAATATCAACCTAATTCCAAAGCCCAAACTTGTATTACATTACAAACATACACTGATAATTAATACGTAAAATAAAACAAAGATCAATAATGTGATTTATATAGTTTTGTTTTTGCAATTTTTTTTTTTTTTTTTATACATTATATTATTCAGAAAATTATCTCCAATAAATTCATTTTAAAATCGCTTTAGGAAATAATTTTTTTAATTCATTGGCATTGATTGGATTAATTGATTTTGGAACAGGGCAGTTGTGTGCCCTATTTCTGAAATATATTAATATTTTACGAATCATTTGTAATTAATAATGTTACAACTATTAATGTCTATTGTGCTTCAGGTAATCATTATGATACTTTGGGATGTATACGTATATAAGATTGGGATTTATACCTTATATGGGATTGGGTCAGGTACTTTAATAATTTGGGCTTTATATACAAAAAGTTTTACCTAATCCAAAATATAGTCAATATTCTAAAAAGTCCCATAATCCCAACTAGTTTGGTTTGGACTGTTATTATAGAATTACGCCAATTTTCTTACAACAAACTAGACACTTTTGAAAAAGTTTTTCCGAGAGTCGGCACTTACCACATTGAACTAATATACTATAAAATTTAAACTTTTCATTCACAGAACTGAATATATATACGAACCGAAAAAATACATGAACTACATATACATTTATGCTCATCACATATTCTAGTCCACTCTACTAGGCGTTCCTAGTTTTGTACGACAACGTCGTGCAGCTAACCTATTCGATATAGGTATAAAGACTAATTTTTGATCAGAAAAAATTGTATGCACGTATTAGCAAAAAAAGGTTGATCTGAACTTGTTTCTCTGTCGGTCATATTCACTTGTATAAATATAGTAAATAAACTATTGTTCTGAATCTTTTAGATCATTACATAGGAGTTTGATATCGAGTGAACTAAATTATATAAATTTTTGGATTCGATCCTTTGCTAAAGCCTTGAGCTATTATTCTTTGTCTCAAGCCTCTAACTTCGTGGCTTTACTTCCAGCCGTACCAGGTATTTATAATGTACAATCATAACTACGGGATTAACTATTTATTTACACACCTTTTAGCTCAAAAGCATGTACAAGATCCTGCGCTTAATCTTAAAATTACAATAACTATCTTAAAAAGTTAGAGTGTTTTATATGGTAACGGTTATAGGAGCAGACATATTATCGTAACTCTATTAACTTAAATACTAGTATTAAAAAAAAAATAAAAATAAAAAAATCGACCAACCGGATTGAATAATTGGATTGGTCGATTTTTTTAGTTATCTGCCAGGGCCACTAATTTTCATTATCCTCTCGAAGAATCATTAGTTATACAGACCGGTGAAAAAATCGGCAGACCTTTTTGCTAAACAATTTTTCTGATCAGAATTAGTTTTCATAGCTATATCAACATGTAAAAAGTCATCAGGTAGGTAGTTCCTTGTCAAATTTTAGTGATATGATAACCAAATTATTTAGTTTTTTATTCTTTTTGTCTTTGAGAAATTCTAGCACGTTGGTATCTTAGATTAATGGTTGTCTATGCATCCGAAAAAATACTGATCATTTATTTGCCAATTTATCAATGAATATCAATATTGGATTTCTTAGCCTGACCAGGCCGCTGGGCCGAGACCAGTTCGTATCACTGGAGGTATTAATGAATAAATTAGCTTTATTTACGTTTAATCACTCTCCGATTGTTGCTTAACAAAGAAATTAAACGTAAACTCTTTTCCAACACTATTCATAGCATTTTAACAAGAAAAGTTTAGCTTAAACGTTTATAAAATTTTCAATACAGAAGGTTTAACGAATTAGGAGTTTTTCATCTATTAAAAGTTTGTAAGGAGAAAAATAAAGATCATTCAAGAAAAGATATACTGAATTTTTCTCATAAAGTAATTAGAAAATATGAATTTAAACGAGCAGGGAGTGCAAATGTTGATGATTGATGAAGCATTTTTATTTTTGATTTTCCTAATAAATATTCTTTTATATTTTAACCCACATGATATCTGATATTGAATAGCCGATTAATGTTATACTTAATTCGAAAATTTTCTTTTAAAAAATAAACTTATTGTTAGACCTTTAAAAATTGTTTATGTAGATGTATTTTTGCTTCCTCTGCAAGTTTGCTAAAGTAGGTATTGGTAGTAAAAATTAACTTTAAATGAATTTTTTTTGAATTTTGATGGAACATTATAATGCGATTCTTTTGATTTTTTGAATGGTTTTATAATGTAATATATTTTAATGACTCTCTTGCTGTTCAAGTAATATTTTTTTTAAACAAATATGATAAAAAAAGAAAAAATGATGATAATATGAGGATAAAGAATAAGTTTGATAGTAAAAATACATGCACGTTCTTGTAAAAACCCTATATCAAATGACCCAACCAATTGTTCGTAATTTAACCCTCCAGAAAAAGCTCAGCATTATCAGTAATGGAAAAAAATATATATATAGTAAAGTAGAATATACAGTAGAGTGTCTAAACCAGGACCTAAAATGTTATTCTGTTGGGCAACATCTCATCTTTTGTTGTAGAGGAATTTTATTATGGAGGGGATTTGGACCTGATGGACAAACTCTATCGAAATTTGCTATCTCTGTTGGTTCTTTTATTATGGAGGGGATTTGGACCTGTTGGTACAGTTCTATCGACCTCTGCTACATCTGCATCTCTTTTATTATGGAGGGGATTTGGACCTGTTGGTACAGTTCTATCGGCCTCTGCTACATCTGCATCTCTTTTATTATGGAGAGGGTTTGGACCTGTTGGTACAATTCTATCGACCTCTGCTACATCTGCATCTCTTTTATTATGGAGAGGATTTGGACCTGTTGGTACAGTTCTATCGACCTCTGCTACATCTGCATCTCTTTTATGATGGAGGGGATTTGGACCTGTTGGTACAGTTCTATCGGCCTCTGCTACATCTGCATCTCTTTTATGATGGAGGGGATTTGGACCTGTTGGTACAGTTCTATCGGCCTCTGCTAGTTCCGTGGGATTTGGTCCTGCTGGTACAATTTCGTCTCTTTTATTATGGAAGGGATTTGGTACAGTTCTATCGGAGTTTACCCCTAATAGTTCCCGTTTTTTATTAAAACTAACATGATATGTTTGTGCAATAACAATAAGTGCCAAAAAAATTGTGAGAACGAATGTTGGTTTCATAATAAATGAGGCGTTTAGTATTTTATTTTTGAAATTTGTTTCAGTAAAATGAAGAATTTTATAAGATAGTTTTTGGACTTCCAATTTTCGTAATGTAATTTATCTAAAAAAGAAAAAAAAGGCTATTGATGACCTATCAAAATTTGCTTCAAAAAAAATAAATTAATTTGCAATCTAATTTCCTATCCTAATAATTGGTGGTAGAGTAGATATCAAATGGGACACTTGCTAATTTCAGAGACATTTATTTTTTGGCCATGATGAACAGATTGTCATCCCGTATTCATTTCTCAGAAACGGAGTGATATTGAAAAATTTCACGCGCATAGTTATATTACGAATTAAGTGACGAACGCACGATACGTCAGCAAATCCTAGCATCTTATTGAATATTGAATGTGGCGAAGCAAGGTTGGCATATCAGGAACTTCACATGCTGCATCTTCACAGGTTTATGTAATATTGCGTACTTCTACATATTCGTATATATTATGAGATTATTGGTCTAAATTAGAATGTCCAGAAATCTGCTTTTTTAAATCGTTAAATTACTGCTTTTGTTCGGCTATTTCTGTATATTCTGCTTACAGCTGTTTTCATAAATTCTGGGACACCTAAAAATTTTCTCGTCTCCCGAAACCTCTTCGATCTTGTTCTTAGAATCATTTAACTTTTCGGAAACTACTTCGTTGTCTCCATATCGAAGTTCCAAGTACAGCGAAGTAGTTTCCGAAAAGGTAGGTGATTCTTAGAATGAGATCGAAGAAGTTTCGGGAAACGAGAAAATTTTAGGTGTCCCAGAATTTATGAAAGCAGCTGTAACTAATTACAATTGAGAAGATTATTATCGTTGTAAAACTATCAATAACGTTAATTAGTGCTTGTAGTCGATCCTTATTTATCGACTTGACAAAGTCGATATTTAAAATTCGGCCAAATTAAAGTCGATTAATATTTTTTAACATCAAAACTTATCGGAGATTTCATCAAATTTTTGTCGCGACCTTGCTTGTATTTTATGTTCGTTGATTTCTTTTCGGAATTTTCCGGCACCTATTCTTAGTACTAAGAGTGGTAATGCACCGAATCTGATTGGTTACTTTGATATAACATAAAATCGACTAAGTCGATTTTTTGGAAAATCGGCTGTCGATAAAATCGACTACAAGCACTAATGTAATTCTGCACAGAATCAGCAAAACTTGTACATATTTGTGCAGATTCTGTGCAGGCAATAAGCTGAACACTCTAGTCTAATCGATTGCGATCATTTCCGTGTTTAGAATAGCTAATTGTGTGATCGGAACAAGTTAAATTATTACATTTTAAAATATCGTATAAATTTATGCAAATCTGTCAATTTGATTGACTAGTTTTATATCTCGTATCTATTGTAAAGTTGGGCAACGAAACAAAACCAACCCGAACTAGTTTCAGATTTTTTTAAAAAAATTTCAGAAACTCCAGAAACCCAAAACCCCCGAAATTATAATCCAACCCCGAAACTATGCAACCAAACAGATCACAAATCTCGTGTAACAACCCAATATTTTACTATGACCAGGTTAATGCACAGCATTGTATATCTTCCTCATAGAAGGACATTCGTCTGATTGGCTGATGTAAATCAATTGCCGGGTAACTTATTTATACACTTTAAAGTACTTTTTGGAAACACACCGTTTCACTAACAAAAAATCACCGTAAAAGCCATTTTTCGCTTCGATAGAACGTCTATATTCACTATGCAAAAATAATCAGTAATAATCAGTATCCCCGCGAACTTTACTTAGAAGGCAAAATATGCCTACCGTTTATTGGACCATATCAAATTATACTGTAGAGTGAAGGTAACCAGAAATGTTTTCGTCTAAAACTATTTTATTACGTTAGATTTAAATAAACTTTTATTTTTAACTGTTTAATTTGAATAGGTACAAGCTCTTTAACAAGAAGATCCGGGCTTAATATTTAAATTTGGTCGGTTCTTGTAGTGTGTTTGAGCTTGTCAACCGTGAATTAATAGTTAAAGTTTTAATAGGTTTAATTTATATCTTATATGGTAGATTCTTTAATAGTTTGGGTTTATTAGTAATAAATATCTTATTTACCCACTTTACGCGTATCTATTCTCTACATATTAATAACAAATTTTTTCGCGTGTATTTATTAATTTGTAAGCTTCTTTATACGAAGTTTCTTTCGTTTTCTAATATCGTAGTACTACCGTATAAGCGCGAAATAACGCCCACCTGCGCGTTAATTTATCGACCTGCGCGTTATTTCGAGTACGCGCATGTGCGTTATTTCGAAACAAAGATCGATTTTCCAGGTTTAACCCTTTTTAAAATAACGCGCATGCGCCCTAGCCTGCTGATTAGTGATGCGCCGTAACTATAATAAGTAAGTAATGTAGAAAGTTACGGTAATAATGCCTATATTTCTTACTATAGTTACGGCAAAGTTACGACGACTGCAGATAACAATGATTTTCTAAATTATTGTTTTTTAAACCGGTTACAGTTTTTTTTTTTTTTTTACTTGTATTGACGGGGCAATTTTTTATTTTTTTTTTTGTAATGTATATAAGTATACTTCTTTTGAGGTATGTACTAAAATTTTTTTTTTTTTTTTTTTTGCCGGATTCTTCTGGACTTTATTTTTTTTTTTATTTTTTTTTTTGCTGGATTCTTCTGGACATTTTTTTATTATTTTTTTTTTCTCTTTGATTCTTTGAATTACAAACTTCTACGTACTATGACATTGAACAATATAATGCACCTACTTTTTTTCTTTCAACTAAAGAAAAAATATTACTTTTAATGATGGCATCAATAACATTTTTTCACGGGCTAAAAAGGGAAAAAAAAAAATTAATAATAAAAAAACATTTAAATTATGGATGGACTTTGCAGTATCGTTATAAGGTGACAATTAACCTTGAGTAGGACAACTGTTCTGGGGCCATTATGGCTTCAACGGCTTGTTGGTTAATTTGATGTTTTTTTTTTTTGAAAGATCCCTAATAATTTTGTGTCACAAACCCACTATTAAAACAATACCCAAGTACTATTTTAAGTGAGTGATTTTGTTTTTTTTTGTTTTACATCCAAATTTTGCTTGCAAATATGGGAAGCAAACGAAGCTATACCATTTCATTCAAACTTGAAGTAATATCATACACTGAACAAACATTTAACCATAAAGCATCCTTATTTCATAAAGTCGTTTGGAAATGCATCCAGGAATGGAGAAAGCAAAAAAAGAAACTTGAGGCTGTCAAAAATGATCAAAACTCAAATATTAATAAGGTGCGAGTTCTTGCTGGGTGCAGTCGAAAAGCTAAATATCCCGAAGTTGAAAAAGAATTATTAGATTATATTCAGAAAAAATGAGAAGAAAGATGGTGGTTACTACTTCAATGATTCATAAGAAGGCAAAAGAGTTAGTGAAGACACTAAATATTCAAGATGCAAAGCTCTCCTGTGTGTGGGTTGAACATTTTAAGCGAAGGAATAAGCTAGTAGAATGTGTTCAGACACAACTCGAGCAAAGGCTTTCATAAGATAAGCCTTTAATTGTCAAAAACTTTCTTCAAACTTTGCGTGAGAAAACAAAGAACATTGAAAAAAAATTTATTATTTCTTTTGATGAAATGCCAATGTGGTTCGACATGCCCCGAAATACAACAATCGATTTTGAAGGCATTCGTGAAGTGCCAATTAAAACTACAGGAAATGATAAATTAAGGTTTACGGTAGTCTTGGGCTATACTGCATCTGGAGAAAAACTTCCACCTGCTATAATTTTCAAGTTAAAAAAAATACCGAAGGGTAGGTTTCCACGAGATGTTGTGATAACAACAGCACCTTGCACAAATATGATAGAAGATTTGATGATTTCTACTTATATTCCACAAGTTATTTGAGCCAGACCAAATAGGTTCTTTAAGAATAAAGGTGTAATCTTCATTGATCGTCATCGTAGCCATGTTCATGATGATGTAGTTAAAGCATTAAATACGGTGTGGTTAAAATTTTTTAAAAAAAAAACTAATTGAACCTATATTGTATAGGGGGACCAATACCGATTAGAATTTTTTCTAAATTGAATTTTTTTTTTTTTGTTTAGAAAGGCTTGGATGTCTTGGAAATACCCGATGGAACAACTTGCGTTTTGCAACCACCTAATGTTTTAGTAAACAAGCCTTTTAAAAATGGCATGATGCAAAGGTAAAAAAAATAGATTGATGAAGATAAAGGTGAGTTTACTAAAAAGGGAAACCGCAAGAAAGCATCATACGAATTGGTTAGTAGATAGGTATCTGAAACGTGAAGAGAAATCAGCCCAGATCTTTTGGCCAAGTCTTTTGAAGCCACTGGGCTTATGCTTAACTTTGATGGCAGTAAAGATGACAAGATATCAAGCCATCTTCAAGCCATTGTTACAGACCGTATAGATGAAGTGAGTTTTTCTGAGGAAGAAGATAATGAATCATCAAATTAGGATATTGATAGTGAATCGAACCCTGATAATGATGATGTCGAGAGTGTAATGGATTGTGATCCTGAAGATATGATGGACATTTATGATTCTGAAGATATGGTGGACCTTTATGATTGATAAAGTAATGATCATTAAATTAGTAAAAGAAAAAAAAAATCTCCTAAAACAAATTTATACTTATCTTTTTATTGATAGCCTGTCAAATAAATCAGCAAAATGAATAGTTTAAACGTTAAACAATTTTTTTTTTTTTTAAAAAAAAAAAAAAATTATTTTTTTTATCTTTTTTTTTTTTAATTTTCATTTGAATTAGAATTTTTTTTTTGTTGCTTGTGTTATGATATGGGAGTTTAATTGGTTAATTAATTGTTATCGAGTGGAATTGAATAATCCATTGTTGAAAATAGGATGATGCTAAAATAAACTAGTTGTATGCCAGTACATGTGGCATTTATTTCTTATCAAATCGAAATTGAATGTAAGGTATACATTAT